TTATATGGGATCTTCCCAGAAGCCTTATCTGCATGTTTTAGAGAGAATAATCTGCTCACCCTATATCTGCACTCAATTCATAAGCACAGAGCTCCAGTGATCAAGCATCTTTTCAAATACTGAAATGTTTAAGAAGAAGAAATTGTGTGAGATCTTGTTCTAGGTGGCATCTTGTTTAAAAAAAAAAAAAAAAAAGTATTTGATCTCAGTTTTGCATAACTCAAGTCCCAAAAGTAGCAACTTTTTGCAAAATCAGAGCAAAGTTTTTGTTTGGGACAGGCATTCATAAGCTTTCTCTTTCATACTGCTTCCCAAAACCACAGACGTGAAGCAATGCCAAAAAAGCAATAGTACTGTAGTCACCAGTATCAAAATACCTCTATCCTGAAATTAACTTAGAAAGAGGTCTACTACAGACATCTTATCTACTAATGAACTCTTAACACATTGTCCCCATGTACAAGCAACCCCTGCATCTAAGTGCATGCAAACATCTGAGCATAAGGAAAGGAATAAAAAAAAAAGACTTCATTTTCATTTGTGGTCATCAGAGACAGCAAATACTCTGTGTCAGAACTGACATGTTATGCAATGCATGAACAGTGCCTTGATACAGGGAAACCCAAATTTCTCATTCTGTCTACATATTTCTGTAACATAAGTGATCATAGCACTGAATTAATGTAAAAATGACATCTTTATGAACAATTTAGCTTTTCAGAAACAGACAAGGACATTACCAGTATATATTTTGCTATGCTTGAAAGCATGTAATTAAACATGGATCTCACAAACATAAACAAACACCTCCCATCCAACCTCCAAGTTTTGAAAAAAAAAACAGGTTTGTTTAGACAAGGGGTTGATAATCTAGTTTGAACACAGGTATCTGAATGCTGTGACAGCTTCTTCATAATGCTAAGTTTATGGTACATTAAACTTTAAAGCAAAATAAACTCCTGCTTTCATTTTATCAAATATCTTCCCAGGCAGCAAAAAGAGACAAAGCAATGTTTGCAGCTACAACCAAGCACGGGATACCCTGCTCGGGAGATCTTTGAAATGAAAATGAACAATATGTTGTAAAGATACACTTTTCAGTCGAGAATATCACTGGGATTTGTAAATGTTAACCTCATTCCTCCCTTAAGTGTTTGTTTTTATTTCATGCCCGGAAAAGAACCCTGAGTTTCACAGAGATTAAGCAAACAGAGACAGCAGCCCCTGGAATTGAGGAAGAAAGTGCTCTTAGAAGAAACTGCTCTGATAATCAGCTTGGCTAGTAGAAATCACAGAGGGTGGAAGCAACACAGACATGAGATTTTTTATTTTTTTTAAAGAGTGCTCAGTGTTGTACCTCTGATATGTACTTGCCATATATTGTTGGCTTTTTTTATTGTCACTAAAGCAGTATTTTCACTGTCTATCACAATAATAAGGAGGTAGCAGCAGCCATTGAAGAATCCATGGTATGAGGTCTAGGGGAAGAGACTTGGACCTACTGATAGCAAGTGCTAAAGATGGGGAAGGAGCAGACAAGTAAACCCCATAGGAGTAGAAGTAAGCAGGCAGACCTGAGCAGCTTATATTAATAGAAGACAGAAAAAAAGCAGCTTCAGGTTTGTTCACCCCATTCCAAATCTGAAGAGATTGTGTACCCAAGAGATACTCTGTACTCTCAACATTAGATGAGCTGACTTGAATCTGCTATAGGAAGAGGCTTTTTAAGGTCATGTGGAGGATAAACAGAGATTATAGGCTCTGAATTAAGGTTGACAAGACACATTATCAGCATCATCCTCATATTACATTAATAAAAACATAAGAGAAATCAGGTGTGCTGTTAGACAGTGTTCTACACAGAATTACTGGCGTTCCTGATTGTACTGTAAGAGGCAGCCTAAATAATGGCCAAGTCATCCAAGTTTCCTCTTAGGACCTGCATCTGTTTATTTTTAAGCAGCTACAGCTTCTCCTACCTTTCCCAACCAACCTCTACTTCTCTCCCCATTTCATATGACCTCACCTTATCCAGAAATGTGAAGAAATTGGTCTTATCACAATTTAGCAAGATACCACCTGTCAGCTGAACTGTGATAAATCACAGCTGGCCTTACAATGCACACACTAACAGCTACAGAGGCTTAGCTGATGGGCAGCAACTCAGGGGCGGCATTTAAACCTCCAAGTAACGCCATTCACAAAATTCTTGCTAAGGAAATAGCTCAATAACACAGCAGTTGACATCACCATGTTACAATTCTAGTGTACGTTAGGTCTATCATCTCTTTTTTCAACCTACAACTGCATTTTGTTTAGCCTGTAAGCCTTTTAAAGCAAAAGAAAAGTGGACAAACTGCCTAGTCTTTGTATTCACAGAATAGTTGACACGCTACAATCCTGATCAAACAGAAGCTACCAGCATCCCAAAACTTACAACAGCAAATATTAATACTTCCCTTCTCCTATGACTGCCATCCTGAAAAGTTACAACGTTGGCAGAATAAAAAAGCCTCCCCCAGAAAAGAGGTATTCAGAGGTTATTAAAAAATGAGAGTAAGGCTTAGAATGGAAACATCAAAAAAACTTGAGTAGTTATTACTTTATTAATACTCCCATCACAGATTAAATTTGTGCTTTCTAACTCCTAGAAGAACCACACAACTCCACATGCAAATGGTTGTAATAAAAAAAAAAGACATTCTCTAGAATTAGGGACCTGCATTTTGTTAGCAATCTTTTACATACTCTTTAAGTAATTCCTTGAATCCAAAGTCTCAACTGTGAATGAAGTAGGCTGCGAGCATGAGTTGTTTTTCACTCATTCACTTAAATGGAGCTTTGATATGAGAAAAAAAAAAAAAAAAAAAGTTTTATAAAAAATAAACCGTCTGAAAGTCTGAAAAATAAGCACCATTCATGTAGATGTGCTTCAAGACTTGTGTCTTCACTCACTGCATTTTACTGAAATAAATGGATCCAAATAACTTAGTCAACTAAGCAAGCTTACCAATAGCTCGTGTATGCTGCCCAACATGTTTAATTGCAAGTTTCAGAAACAGCACCAGCTCCTCCTTGGAAGAGTGACCTAAAGGCAGCTGTATTTAATAAACTACCCCAAAATCAACTTGCATCTGCAGATCAATAGGATCAGTGACAGGTTAGGGCATAAAACACCTCCCTTCATAAAACTTCAGTTTCTTTTACACAGCACCTTCACAGGGTTCATCTTCAGCCAGGAAAAGAGAAACAAGGAATGGTGTATCTCTACTCTAGGGCAATTTCCCACCTCACCCCTAATTAGACTTTATGAAGACAGTTATTTATATACTTTATATATTATAAGTTAGACTTTATGTATGACAGTTGACTGTTCGCGGCTAGGAGCCTGGTACAAGCTTGCATTTAGTCTGCCTTTAGATCCAAGTTTATTTATAGAATCATAGAATTGTTGAGTTGGAAAGGAACCTTAAAGGCCACCCAGACCTACTCCCTTGCAGTGAGCAGGGACATCCACAGCTAGATCAGGTTCTGTAGAGCCCGCTCCAGCCTGATCTTGCATGGACATTTGCAAGGACAGGGACATCACCTCTATCAGAGCAATCTGTTTCATTTATGTTGAGACAGAATTCAGCACAGAGCTTCCATGCCTTCCTTTCTACAGGAGGGCCTTTCTTATAAGAGCCTTTCCTAAAATGAAGCACAAAGCAAGGCTCTGGAGAAGCATGGATCAGAACACGGTACATTTGTACAGAGCACTTCTCTGCCTTCACAGCCCTCAGCACACCTTGACATTTAAAGCATGGAAGCACCAGGCTCTTCTAGCCATCTCACAGGCTGCCAGAGTTCACCAGACCTTGTGCTGCATTTCTGAACCATGGCTCTCCCCCTGGCCTCTCTCCTCCTATTTGAGCTTATGCAGATCTATGGGTCAGCAGCTAAACAGCATGGATTTACCAAAAGATCTAGTGTTGCCACTGTTTTTCCAATTAAAATTCAAAAGCAGTGGGACTTGGACCTTTGTGATGATTTGTGCAGATCTTAGGAAGAAAACTGGCTTGCTCACCTACCTGAGATGGTAATGCACATCAAAGAGGGAATTGATTTGGCTCTTCTCAGTCTCTCTAGACTCTCCCTTGATATGGAAGCGGAACAAAGTTTGATAGGATTAAAGAATCAAGAAATGTGTACAGAAGTGATCCATCATTTACACTACTAGAACAATTGTGCTGAAATCATGATGTCATCATTATTCTTTTCTAGATCAGTTTGGGATTTTCTTCTGAAGCTCTTCTTCTCTCACTGTTTCTGAAATTATTTCTTGAATTCACGTAGGAATGAGAAAACACGTGACCAAAAAGCAGGGTTTGAGGTATCTAGTGAAAAGAGTCAGAACAGCATTCCCAGATCAGCCACTTTAATTTCCAAAACAGATTATCTGGATTGGGTTGTGTTAGGTACTTCTTCCCTTCATCTCAGCATAGCTCATTGTCATGCCTACTGCACTTAACATTAGAATTGCTGTTATTCTGGTTTGTGTCCATTATTCAGTGTGGAAAGAAGAAGAGAAGAAATTCAAGCAACAGTTAAAGTGTCTGTAAATTTAAACCAAGAAACCTGGCAAAGGTCAAGTGTGCAACATAGTGCAAAGAAGGGTCCAACAACACCCTGTGACAAGAACTCAGTTTCTTTGTGATCAGCATCAGTGTTCCTGCAGCCTAGAGAAATTAATAAGAAACCAACAGTAGTTAAGTCCTCAATTTTTATGACAATTTCAGTGAGCATTTGTTGGTAAAGCACTCAAAAGAAAGTCTTGCAAGGACAGAACTCTGTAAAAAGCAATGTGAGTTTCATAAGTTTGTATTTCAACCTCCACACCCAAACCAGCATGCCCTTTGCACCCCTTCCAGCCAGCTATCTTCCAGTTGCACCTTAAAAATAGGAAGTCTCTGTAGATGTTGGGAGAACTTCAGCAGGCCCCTTTTGCCTTTACCACTTACCAGTACAGAAGAACCACGAATACCGCCAGTAAAGCCAGGGTGACTGTTGTACTGTTCACTTCTGCAGAGGCAAATGCCAGGAGATCAGAGAGCTCCATTTTCCTCTAGCACAGTGCCAGCCTTCAGTGGTGCAAGCATGCACACAAGGGAAAGTCTCCTCAAGAGCTGATAAACCTCCCACAGCTATTTGAATGACATCTGCAACAAAAACAGGAACCAAGAGAGCAAAAATACATCGAGTCAAGTATGAACTGCAAACCTTTCCTGTTCTTATCGACTGCACACTCAGAGAACTTGAAGGTTTACCAAATGGTAGGATGTAGAAATTCCCCCTCCCCTTTTGCTGACTGTCATGTCAGTAAATATTTACATATCAACTGCTTAAGACATCAGTGCGGTCAAATGGGTTTCTAGACAACAAGTGTGGGAGACTGGGGAAAATGTGGGAAAAAGAAGGAGGGGAAGGAGAGCCTGACTCCGGTACAGATCATGGAGGAAGAATACATGACCACCCATCATCCGTGTCTTAGCATGCAAACAGCAGTGTTCTGTGAAGTAATAAAACCAGAGCATTTCTGCAACAGAAAACTTCACTGGCACTGATCTCCAAACTGTTTATACTTTAAACACAGTAGAGTTGAAATTACCTAAGCTAAAAGGAGGAATTAGGGGAAAACTCTTCTAATGCGACTACTAGAAGACATACATAGAAAGAGAAACTAATGAGCAGAAAAAAACAACTGTAGCACCTGGGTAAGTTAGAGTTGCTTGCACCAGTCGCTGTATAGGTAGCACCGTTAGGTTGGACCATCTCAGGTCCATAGGTATCACAGCAAATTTTCCAGGCTCAATGCAGTGCCTCCTCTGGAGGTACTATTTGCCACAGCATCAGTATGTAGCCAGAGAATCTCTGGTACCAGGGTTAACATTAATAGAAGCATGTGCTCCTTTGTGTTTCTGCACTGTGGCACAGTCAAGCTGTCACACAACCTGAACAGTCTGAAGGCAGTTCAGGAAATGAGTTGCCCCAGCACGTGAATTCCTCAGCTCTCTTCCACAGTTTCCACTCTGCAAACCTTAATCCTATTTCAAAAACTTGATCTGGTCCAGTGAGAAAGATAAACCAGAAAGTAAGCCTTGAAACATGTCTGTATGAGGAGACCATTAACCTGTTACATACAAAGTTGCTAAACACCAGTATCAAAAAATATTGCAGATTACAACATGAGCAGCTGCAACATGCAGGTAAACACTTGCCCGTGATAAAATTCCCAGAAACTATGCGGTATTGTTTGTAACTTACGAAACTACAAATACACATATATGCACAGCAGCCTTCTCATAATGTACTGAAAGTTAAGGGAACTAAAACTAACCAAAAAACTCAGTGAGAAAGAGGCAGTCTGCAACGTTTGATTCCCACAACACACCAGATGAAGAGTTGTTTCTTCTCATACAACCTCAAGAAAATAGCTTAGATTTAATGCGCGAGGCTCCTCCAATATCACTGTATTACATTTCCTGCTCTTACCAGAGAAGTTAATAATATAGGTATCAAAAAAGTAAAGTCTCTAACACAATGGAGTTTAATTTTAAGAAGATTTGGCTCTACTCTAACTGAATCACTGCTATTTTTGTTCTCCGTGCTTCACAACTGCATTAATTCCCTTCCAGCTTCAGATCCTTGCAGAATGAGTAAAAGGTGTTAACCAGCTCATTGGCTCCACAGGACAGCACAGTAGATCACAGAAAACTTTTCTTATTGTATTAATGTTGCTATTGCTGTTCAGGGTCAACAATAGCTCTGCTAGCTTGCAGCTGCCAAGTTCTCCAAGAACAACTGCAACGAAACACAAGACCAGTGATGTAAGGAATTAGCGGGCACAAGCCAACCCCACTTTAAGGAAGAAAATAATTAAAACAAAAAATATTTTAAAAATATCAATATGTATTAAATACTTTTTAAAAAGAAACAAAACAAAACCTACCACAAATATAGAAAGTAAAAAAAATAATATTCCTGTTTCAATGTGCATTAATTCTCTTGGCTTTTTAATTAAAGGTTACATGATACAAAGGAACGTGGTTAAGTGGGCAACACTGGTGGGAGGTGGAAGGTTGGGCTAGATGATCTTAAAAGTCCTTCCCAACCTTTCTGATTCTATGATTCTGTGATTTATCTGCATGTGGAGTATTAATACCTTCCTGTTCAAGACAGTGGCAGAAGTTCTATTAAGTTCAGCAAACACAGAGTCAAGCACAGATCTTGCTTATTTTTTAAGAAGTACACTGGAGCCTTTTCCCAGTCACACTGGGAGGTAGTTGGGATGAACAGTTCTTAAACACACACATTATAATAGAAAATAGGCTCTCACATCAGCATCCAATTTGGAAGAGAACACATAATTAAGCTCCCAACAACAACAACCATCATTTTCTGCTGTTGATGTTGGAGTTTTATTTTTGCTTTGGTTTTTAATCCTCAGCACCTGTTTCTTACTAGAGGATTTTAACTTGGCACCTCCAGCCACTGAAAAGAGCAGCAGGCAGCATTATTTCCAAAACTCACCTGGAACACACTTAAGTGCTGTCCCAGAGTTTAGTACTTCAGCTTCATGAAGAGTCACAGAAATCCATCACACTTTGTGGGGCAGGGGAAAGGAATCAGGAGGGATGCAGACAGCAACAAAAACAAATTATTCTTCAGCCTTGCTTTCAGCATCCTTTCTTTACTAACAGGCCATTTACATGAGAAAAAACATTCTTAATAGCTAATTAACAGCAGACATATTTATCACCAACCTCTCTGTTGTTTATATGGAGATACGTTGCTCAGGCTGATTATAAGGACATGTAAACTATGGAGACAGATATGAAGTCCTCACTAATCACCTGATGAAGGAAGACAGAGACAAGATGAAGCAGCAGAGGCCTTTTCCTGTTCATCTCTTATAAGTCAGCAGCGTTAACTGTGCTTGCCTTCACAAGGCTTCTCCCAAGACAGCATCTACCAAAGTTCACAGTTCCTCGATGAGGTGCCATCCGAGCTCTTCTCTCCTGCAGCAATGAAAAGCCACAGATCTCCACCTCATCCAACACAAGCTCACACTCAGGATATCCACCTCATCCCTCCTCCCTTAGCGTTGACATTGCTGCAGACTTGGAGGTCCCAGCAAAAACCAGATCTACAAGACAGAAGTAGGACTGAACTTTAGTATATATGCATGTTTGCAGCAGGAAATATTAAAAAGGGAAGTACATTACTACACTACATTCAGAGTATAAGCAGTTGAAGTGTTCCTCAACTAAAACAAAAAAAGGCTATCCGGGTTCTCCAGGAAATGTTCATACATTAAATTCCTGTCTGCTCTAATTCCAAGAATTTTTTTTTTTTTTTTGTAAACGCTCCTGCAAAACAATGTGTTTCAACTTCAAAATTAATACAGGTGTGGCAGTGAGCCTCAGCAATGCCAGACATAAACAAGTATCTCTCAGACATGAAATACACAGCTTATTAAAAAGCAGGGTTAAAGACATTCTCAGTAGAGCTAAATCACATTAAGGATTTTGACCAGTCTTCAAAGCATACTGAATGGAAAATGTACTCTCATGTATTTCAGAGGCTAATGACTAACCAGCCTGACTAACCAAGAACTCTTGTTAATGACCAAAATCAACTTCTCTCATGCTATGCTACCTCATACATTTTAGGTCTATAATAATCTAATTAAGGCCGAGCCATATCAACTTCACCATAGATGAAGGAAGTCTAGAGAGGTGTTAAGTTTTAATTTTATAGCAGTTCCTCTCTATAGAAATTTGTAGCACAGTCTTTAGATCAAGGAAATTGTGTTATACAGGCAGCTTAGCCACAAATTACTGCAAATGAAATACCACAGAACAGCTTAAAAAACATGAGATTAATCGGAGACTAGTTTACATGTAAGCTTTAACAAAGCCCATGTACAAAACTAGGTATGTATATAACATTAATTTATCTTAAAGACAAAAACCTTTCCAAAGCAAAAATGAATTATTAACATCTTTAAAGTAGATCAATCAAAAAGATCAAAGGCACAGTTCTCAGAGGCTTTTTTTTTTTTCTTTTAATATATATGTTTAAAACAACTTTAATAGCCAAAGTCCTGGGAATATTAATGTATTACAGCAGAGGGATTTACAGCTGCCTTCTATGACTCCATTATTACTATCCCTGTGTAAGGAGATTGGCCAAGCAGATTAATCAGGTGGTCTTAACCCCCTGCACGATAAGCTACAACAAACTACTCCAAAGATAGACCACTGAGGCATCAGAGCCCAGATCAAAAGATCCTGCTCTGAATTCCAAACGTCCAGGAGCACTGAAAGGACACCATGGACTCGTGGAATATTCTTGAACCACCCTGAATAAAATCACTCCAATGAACTGGATCTCCAAAGGGCGAACACTGCAACCGTGAAACCACACTGAGGAAGCTGCTGTCATGAGACTTCCTACTGAGAAACAAAGATATATTTTTATACTTAAATTGTTTCCCTAAGTCAGAACCTGGCTATATTAACATAACTGCTTCTCAGAAGAGGGGCACCTAGCCTAAAATTCCAGGAAGGCTGAAATGCAAACTTGCACTTCACCTACAGAATTAATCTTAGACAACTAAAAATTTTGGTACTTCAAAATCAATCAATATCACAGGGGCTAAAAAACCTCATTATGCTAACCAAATGTAGTGCCACTGCACTAAGTCCCCTCTAAAGCAACAAGCTGTGAGATATCCTACTTATTTCAAAGAACTCCACTTAGAAATAGCACAGATTTTGTGGTCAAAAGGAACATCAGTTTCTTCCTCTTGCTGTGAGGCTCAGAATGAGTTTCTAAAATAAAGTTACCTTTGCTAATAGTGACATTAAGGTCTTGAAGCCCCAGTGAAATTCCAGAGAAAGCAGAAATTAATGCAACATCTGCTGCCCAAGGCCAGGCATTTCTAAGCAAATTGGCATTATTAAATAATCAGTAACTTGTTTATATTTCTATAGCTTGCTTTAGAAACATTGATTGATTCAAGCAACCCTATAATTTCATTGTGCTATAAAGTTGACTGGAGATAAGTAAGGATTTATGTTCACGAATCAATAGTTCCACGTTGATAGCAAAAGCCAAAGAACCCTGCCTACACAAGCCTTCTAGTAGCACAAAGCCACATTAATGTTTGTCTTAGTAACGATATCGCGATAAGAAACAGTAAGTTATAATTCACTGTATGAAGTTCAATTTGTGAATGCCAAGAAAAAAACATCCAACGTTCTCTGACTGAAAATTTACTTTAGATGGCAAACTCAAGGCTTGAATTCTCCAAGCTGTGTCTGAGTGCTGAGCCACAGATCAAAAGAACTGTGAAAATTTTTACAGAAGCACCATGTTCTATAACTTAATTAACTAAATAGTTCTTATCAATTTCTCTTTCACTTACCAGTCCATGGAATCAACACCAACACATACAAAGATCAGTCCTTTTCTGTGCTTTGCAAATGGAAAGATACAGAACATTGGTTTTCTCCAATTAACAGAAAAATTTTGAGAGCTCAACATGCTCTGTAGCTACTACATTCCCCACATTACCTCACCAGTTTGCACTTCCATAATTTTATTATGGAATCCTTTCAGTAGGATACAGAAAGATTTCTTAAGAGAACAAAGAGGCAGCAACTTCAGAAACAGCGAGCCTCAACACTGCACTGCTCTGAGCAATGGCTTCTGAACTTCCAGCTGGACAAATCTTGATCACTGAGTCCTTTGGGTCATCAGAATGAAAGAAAATGGATTAGAGACACAAACAGGAAGGACAAGGGGAAGAACAGCAGCCAAGAAGAGGTAGGGCTGAGTGCATTGTCGTAGAGTTGCTGTGAGTGGATATGATGGACTAAATTCCCAGGTATGAACTTCATTTGGATTCCTGGGAAGATGTTGTAGGTTGGAGATCTTCAGTGAAGCCACTCACAATAACAAAGACCTATCAGTGCTCTCAGGCAACTGCCAGACTGGTTACTAAGGCCTGAAACAGGTGAAAAGATAATGACAGACACAAAAGAACAGGGTATGTGAAAGAGAAAATCTACTGAAACGGTGCATTTATCAATACCTTGTTGGAATTCAAAATAACAAAAAGGAAAAGACACCAAAAGTCTCAGAAATTGTAAATTCAGATGAGGAAATGAAACATTCTTCTGGACAGGTCTCCCACTGTTTTTTTTCCAGATAGCATGTGGTTCCAGAAGAAGCTGCACAGATATCACAGGATCATAGACCAAGAGAATCATAGGGGTTGGAAGGGACCACTAAAGATTTTGAGTCCAAACTCCTACAAAAGGATGTTTCCCAAGATAGGTTCCACAGAAAGAGTCCAAGTGGGTTTTAAATACCTCCAGAGATAGAGACTCAACAACAACTCAGGGCAGCCTATTTCAGTGCTCTGTTCACATGAATGAATGAACAGAGAATGTTCCCACGGATTATGATAGCCTTCAAGCTGACTAGGAATGGTACAATCAGGTCCCAGCTGGGAACTGCAGACGGTATCAGATCTGCCTGTATGCCTTACCTCTCTAACTGTTGAACATCAGAGTGACTGGATGCAATTAACACTCCGTTGTGAATAAGAAAGCAAAATGAAAAAGAATGTACAATGAATTAGATAATACAGACATAAAGAACAGGATGAGCATTACAATTCGAGCATTAACACCATCTAGTCTCAGTACAGAAGGAAGGTAAACCATCAAGTAGAAAGCAAAAAGAATGGTCAAAATCAAGCAAGTCAGACCAATTCTATTGCCATTATAATGATTTTGAAACTTCAAGAAGCCCAGAAGCTACTAGTTTATATCCTCATGTTGAAAGGAGATACAGCTGCAAATAGACTCAACATGGCAGTTCAAAGTAATCGCTAAGGATGACCCCAGCTCTTCAGCAGTTCTCTACCAGCATCCACAGAGCCTTACTTTTAAGCTGCAATACAGCCCATCATGGTATGGACATGGTAAGGAAGCTCTTCTGGACAACACTGAGTGCATGGTTTCTGGGATTCTGCTCAAGCTCCTTTTTGAGACAGGCAGGGGAGGCTGGTACCCTATTGACTCTCTTGCCTTTGGAAATATTTACCATGTTCCCCAATGTAAACATTGCAAAATACCTATAATTGCAGGGTGAACAATCATGTCAGACACTTTCAGATGGCTGTAAGAACACAAAATTCAGGGTGCGCTGAAACACAGAGAGCCATAGCGACAAGACCTAAGTGTTTCTACACTGTGAGCCAATCACAGAGGCAATACAAAGTACATTGAAAGCCTTATCTGAACACCCACCCTATTCAGGGGATATTCTCTATCTAAATTCATGCATCACATGATGAAAAATTCTTGGTAGATCATGCCCAGTATTCCCAAAGGCCTTCTTTCCCACGTGAAAGAGCACAAATAACTAACATGCAAACTGTAGCCTCTTAAATGCTACAGAAGCTGTATGAAACAAACCTATGGCTTTGCTCTAGTTCAGCCTTTCGTAGCCTCCAATTCATCATTTTTTTCCCTGCAGTCCTTTCTGCTGGCCCCTCGTGCACTAATTCACAAATCAGAATTCCCTTCAGCTCCCTCCCACTCATTCTCAGCAGATATGTTACAACATACACAGGCATGCATAACAGGTGAGGGGGCAAAAAAACAGAAGAAGTGAATAACAAACTTACACAATAACAAAACCAACATTTCCATATCTGAGCTCTTACTGCAAATCTTGGCTTACTTTTTTTTTTTTTTTTTTTTTCCAAAGTGCCAGTTCTTCATTTGTACAATTGTGACAAATACAGGTTTTACTGGGGGCAAAGAGGGTCAAGACCTCACAGCAAGAAAAACGATTTTCCAAAGCTATGAAACTCAAAAGGACCAGGGCCAAAATCCTAATTAAGCTATTTTAATTGCTCAATTAAAAAAAAAAAATGCATGTTTTTCCTGCAGTCTCATGAATCTGAGAGTGAATTTGTGATTTCTGAATGCCTGAGGTTAGAAGTACTTCCAAAAGGGCATGAACCCACTAAGCTGACCCGTTAGCCACAGGAAAAGAGGTTAAGTGGAAGACTAAGTAAGGTGGCATGTGAGCTGAAACAGCACGAACTTAGGCTCAACAAGA